GACAGAAATCTTTTAAACAACCCTCCACCAGCCATAAAACCAATCTCATTATACATAAAAACCTGTGCTTTTTTAATCATGACTGCTGCTCTTTCTAACTCCAGCTGTCATGCTGTGCCGGTGTAATGAGCTCAGTGAAAGAGGTCAGGCAGAAAGATGCTATGGCTTCTCCCTCGGATAATGTATTTCTAAGGCCTGGTGAATGATCACTTCAGAGATGGACAGCAGTAGGAGAACAATATGTATGACAACACAGGACAGCAAGGACTTCTCACCTTAAACCTTTGTCCTAACAAAGATTACAATACATTCTTACCAACCTAGAGTATTTTATCGTAGATCTGTCAGCAATTAATAATTAATTGACCCCCTCTAGGGGTGCAGCAAGTCAAACAACCCAAACGTAACTATCCCCTCTAGCCTTCAAGTGGCTGAACTGGTTATGGTTAATCCTTTGGGCAGCAGAACCGATGAAGACCGATTTAACACGGATTTATATTTGAAGGCTGAGTGCCCAAGTGGATTCTCTGGTATCTTTTAAGGACTGAACTCCTTTAGAGATCTTTCCTTCAAGTGGGGAATTGTAGGGTGTCAGTTTTCTACCTAGTCATTTAGTTCAGTAAAACATATGGAAAATGCTACCGCTGAATTTCCTCGTGATTATCAACTAAACTTGACAGAGGGGTAAAATTCTCTGTGATAACTTTATACCTCTGTCAAATTCAGTTAATAAGAATAAATTCAGACATTACTGAGAGTAGAGGAAGGCAATTGACAGATAGACATATACAGACAAAATTAAACTGAGACTTGCTTCCTTTAGAAATTCCTGAAAAAATAAATAATAGAAGGCACTATACGCAGCTGGAATAAAAATGAAGCATTTGCTGCTCTAGCAGCATGCATTAGAGAATGATCACAAATTATAGGTGAAAGGATAATGTAAAAACATTGAGTAACTTTATAACTCATAGTATGCAATTTCATAACATATTCAACAGAAATGTAGTCAACAGAAAGTCACCAAAGTCCCAAGACAGTAATACAGAGAATCACAAATATGACAACTCAATGCATAGAAGAAATCTGATGAAAATTTTCAGCTTTAGCTTTTAAACTTCCAATCAAAAATAAACTTTGAGAAGGACAATAGGGTTGCTTATAGATGGGGTTTGCTTTCTTTAGCTGAAGAATGACAACCAAGAAAAGGTGACGGTGGTAGGGCAAGAATGGTCTGCTGGCTACGAAGAATGACCCTGTCTGTAGAGGAGAATGGGGACAGTGACTTGGTGGCATAAGAAAGCTTGGGAAGAGCAGGAAAAGGATGAGCCCTTACTGATATACGCTCAAGTGCAGTCATGAAATTGGTAATTATTGCACCAATACAGAGCAAACAGGAAAATCACATAAGCATAGCTTGTCTGAAGAAACTTCCGTTACTCCAACTTCAAGCAAACACGCTCACAAACACACAATGCTGCCTTTTCAGCACCTGGTTTTCCATGCTACTGGAGGCCTTCTGCTGTTCCTCGGGCTCTACAGCTGCTCCCCTTCTCCTCTGTGCTGCCTTCCCTCTGCCTATCCTTTCCTCCCTGCTAAGCAAAAGAGTGGGATCTCAAAGAAAGCCCATCCTGACTGTCCAGCTCAACTCCCACCCTCAAACCCTAATCAGCCAGCTCCACTCTACTGAATAAGAAATGGCTTCCCAGAGGAGGGGAAGGAAGCAACTAAAATTATTTTTACAACCCTTGGTATGTTTTCTGAAAATATTTACAGCAAAGTAACACATTAGAATACACTCAGACATAAGACAGTAAGAAATTCATGGTCATGTTCTAGTTACTCAAATTCACAGTCAGCAAAATAGCTGACCACGTCACATGCCATCTTACACCAGCTAGTGCTTGAACCAACATTTAGAAACTCCTGACATTTCCAGCCCTCAAATTAGCATGGAGCTACACTCCAGACTGATCGTTCATCAGCCAAAATATGTAGGTGATAGCCTGACATCTGTCAGCACGGTAAGTCATGGAGTATTATAGTGTCTCTGCATAGCTGCAGAAACACAGGCCAAAAGGTGTATTATCATGGAATATACCTTACTTTTCAACTAGTTGGTGTATTTGAAATCTCTTCACAACTGAAGGAGGATAAGTGATGCTATAAAAGTGGCATCAGATTTGATTGTATCTTGGTGAATGCCGAATGTTTCGTCTCCTTTTTTATGTCATTACATACAGTTTTTCAGTCTAATAACCAGGACCTAAAATTAATAACTGCTTAAAGTTAGACATTAATAAAAACCACTATTAATAGGGAGGCACTGGAACCAATTTTATGTGGAACTTTACTGCTCAAGGTCACTGTCAACAGATCAGATATTCTGGAACAATATGCAGATGGCTGTTACAGTTTACAGACAAGGATTGCATGGATGACCGTTTCAGCACAAGTTTTCCAAGTTTTTATTTGGTCTTTCTGTCTCATGCCTATCTTTGTGCCCTTTATTTTAGCTGTTAGTCAACACGTGTAAAAATCTATACTTGAATTTAATTTAATGTCATGTTGATTTCTCATCAGCCTAAAATAACGATTATACATGCTCTCAGACTTGTGCTTTGCAGGCAGAAAAAAATGTATGAAATGTCACCCCATGGCAGAATGAACTTAGTCTGGACTGTGCCCCACTGTATTGGTATGTTAGTATCCCACTGGCATCACTGAAATGTTGCATGAGATGGGGTAAAAAGATTAGGATGTCTTTGCAGAAGAGGGCCTTCATTGCAGCAGACCAGTGAAATATAAAGTAAGGAAGTGTCATAGTTGTGCTTTAAATATTTTAAATTTCTTAAACCCCTTTCTGTTTATATCTCTCAAGGCCTGTTTTAATATCACAAGTAATGTACCCATAAGGTTTTCCAGAATATTTTATTAAAATACATGTCATGATAAACAAAAGCCTCTTCACCTTTCCTTGCAACTTAGGTCCTTCTCTACAAACCCTTTCTTGTTAATATTTAAAGCTACATGCACTTATATATATGTTACCGTTTTTCTACAGTAGTGTCAACTTTGTTCACAAAATTTACAAAAAAATTTCTTAGTGTAACAAATTGTTCCAGACATGACCACACATCAGTATGATTACTTTTGATAAACTTCCTGATAATACACCTTTTTTATGTATGCTTGTAGGGGTTATTTACATTTTGATAAATGCACATTTAGCTATGTGGTTTAGTATAGTCACAAGAAAATAAACTGCATTTTACAACTGAAAAATGAGTACATTCACAAATACTGAATTTTCTAGACTTTGTCTCTGAATGAATCAACCTACAAAGTCTATGAAACTCTGGGAACAGTTAAACATCTCATTATATTACGTGTAATAGCTGCTACTAATATATATACACATATGAATATGTGAGTTTGTATGTGTGTGTATAAAAGTGTGTGTACACATGTATGTATTTATGTATACATATGGCAGCTGGATTAAAATAAATTTTATTTTGAGGGCTTTATTATATATGTCTCTAGCTCTATTTCAATGTTCCAGTTTCAAATAACTGCAATTCAGATTAACCATGCCAAAACTGCAATTATGTAGTATGACAAACAATGTTTTTTAGTCTAAATCACAGCTGTAGTTGCAATAAGAAATGCCATGGGCTCAGCCACAAGGAACTGGATACTGATTAAAGCTGTGTACAGAACTGTGTATGTTATAGCATGCATTTATCACAGTTCCAGAATAAAAAATCCAAAGCATAATCATAACATTTCAATTTCTCAGTCTGATTGCTAAAGGTTTATATGGAACATCAGTTTTATTGCAATTTTATTGGGCTGAGGAAGATTAATCATCCATAAATGACAATAAAACTCAATTCTGAATGAAATTCTGAGGGTTTTTTAAAACCACTTAATTTTTCTAACTTATTCTGCAGGCCTGCTATTAATGAAATGGAGCACACACTGAAACTTCTGAACTGTATTTTCAGTGCCACTGTGTGAAGAGCTAGCTACACTAGATCAGATTCATACAGTTAGAATTTCTTGTTGATATATTAAAAAGACAGGTATAAACCCTAACTGGAAGTGTTCTTTTCCAGGTTTTTATTGTAATATTTTTTCTTTCAGCATTACGTGTAACTATTTTATGCCCTCCACCTCTTTCCAACTCAATGGTAATTTTTTCACAAAACAGAATAGGAAAGAAACAAATAGGAAAAGAAAAAAACCCAAAAAGTTACAGTTAAGGGACATAACAAGTTAATTTTGTGTATTTAGGAGAAAAACGTACACTTTACATCATTTCAGGCAGCCCTAATGAGAAGGGACTGTCAATGTTTGTATGTATGCCAACCTGCCATCCAAGAGGGTCTGCAGCAGGAGGAAGCGCTACTAACAGGGTACAAAGTGCTAACCAAGATCCATCTTGCAAAGGCAGCTGGGCAAAGACCATGAAGTGGCTACAAAAGCTGGAAGAGGAAAATCCCTGAAATGATGAGGTAAGTGATGATAAGGCAATCCAAACCACAGCACTGAGTTTTCTAGTTTATTTTCTGCTAAAGTTAATTCATTTTATTTGCTGCTACTACGCTGTCTCTGCGGGGAGAGGCAAGGGGGAATCATCGCTGGCTGCCCTGTATTTTACCTCTTACTTTACAGGGCTATTTTGAGAATAAATAAAAGTGCTGAGCTGCAGAGATACAGTGGGGAACATATAACTGTGTAGACCCTCACTATAATATTATTGTAAATGACCTTAAATAAAAAATGTATATATTTGCTCACATTAAAACTGCATTTGCCCTCTTGAATTCTGTCTTCATAACGAAATGCGACACAGCCTTAAGCCCATTAATTTCCACAGGGTTGGGTTTAGTCTTTACACTCTAATGAAAGCCAAATACAATTTCAAGAGTCTGTGATAGCTCAGTGCAAGCCCCAGATTCCCACATCATGAGATGAGCAAATTTAAGACTTACGATGGTTCTTCAGACACCACTGCTCCTTCCTCCAGTTCTTGAGCCTGCTTATACCACGGCAACTTTGCTTCCACAGGAAGTTTCTCTACAGAAAAAACACAAGTGTGTGAAAATAGGAAGCATGCAGTAAAGTTGCTACGTGTGCCAGCCTCTCCTCTCTTGCTGAGCATGTCTGTGATGCACATGTGCCTTCATGCACATGGAAGCTGAGCACAAAGAAGAAAGAGAGTGAAAAGAGAGCAAGAGAGAGAAAGAAACTCCTTTGTCACCTGGACTGTAACACTTACGAGGTTATATGGCCAGATAATTCACCGTTGCAGCTAGAAGGGCTATGGTGTTCTAAAGCCAGTAAGGCAAATTAAGTCACTTCTCAGACTATACAACTAGGCTGTAAAAGTAGACACTTTTTTTTGGAGGGAGTCTTGCAAGTGTAACAGGCCTCCTTTGACACTGCAAAGGCAAAATGTATAAAATCCGTGTGTTTACCCTTACATTTTAGAACTTCAGAAGACAGATTAATCTTGTTTTTGATAGATTAGAAAAAGGAAGAACCCCCTGATTTGATGAGTGATACAACAGAAAAACAGAGAAACCATAATAAAATGGCCCAGCTATAATTTTCAACTTTATCAGTTTGTCAGCTATTCAGTTTTAAAAAAATGAACTTGATACTTTTTCTGTCATTTCTGATGGAAAACAGTAGAGCTGCTTTTCTTCCCCTTCAGGATGTGTGCGCAGTGTAATGAGCTCTGAGGAGCACAGGGCCATGCTGCTTTGCAAGCCAAACTCTGCTTTCATGCAGTGTAAAAGTGGAGTATTTGAGCTGAAGGCAGTGGAGCTGTTTTAGCTCTACAGGAGTAAAAAGCAAGAGCAAATTTGGCACTATAATTTGAGAGGCTTTGTATTTCAACACAAAGTTCTGGATCAGGGGAAAAAATACAAACAAAAAGGAGTGAGACTCAGACCACTGAGGGGAACCAGGGCCAGGCCGATTTGCCACTCACAAATCACCCAAGCCTTTTGGGTTTATATAATGCACAGACCTGTATTCGCCCATGTGAGCAGATTAATGTCATTCAGAACAGTCGGCAATTTTCTGTGACTCGGTTGTGCACAACAGTCAACCTTTCACATATGCACATGAAATTTCCCATCTGTCAGTTGTATCCTAGAGGAACACCAACTTACAAGTTGATTTCACAGCTACTGCAACTTTAGTCAAGCGACCGTCCTCGAAGCAAGTTATTAACTGAGGAAGAAAGGGACAGTAATAGAGTTACTATGCCTCCTTTAGAAATAGCTTGCCAAGCTCTTACTTTAACATATTTATTAGTGTCATTTAAGGATGAATATTTGCCAGCACAGCTCTTAGTTTAATCTATATTTTACTGCATTTGTTATCCAAAATATGTAGGAGATATTTCTATTTATATGTTCTGCAGCTTGTTTTATGGGTTTTGGAAAGCTAGATCTTACTTCTGTGCTTTTTTTCTTGGATGCAAGTGCTTGTAAAAAGCAAAAATTCTTGTGTAGCGTTGCCTGTTATGTGACTTTTTAAATAACTTTTCTTTTTTAGATGTGTAGTTAATTACCATCTACACTGTAAAATTTGTTAGAGGATTAGAAACGTTGATATTGTACAGTGGGCTTTGACAAAAAAATGAATTAAAAATACTCCTAACGTAAGCTAAGGAGGAATTTTTACCTTTGGAGATTAAAGTAAACTTTCTCCTTTTATAAAACAGTTCCAGTAGAAACACTTAAATCCTGTATTACACAGGAAATTGTATTAGATGAATAAACCTTCTGTATTACAACTGAAAATCATTACTTAATCCAGGCATATCCTATTTTTTCCCATTATCACTGTAAGATAAAGTGCCTCAGTGCTTGAATAAACTAAAATGAAATAAATTAAATGAATTATTTGCATTCTATTTCTGTTTAGCACAGTGTGTTAAAGGAAGAGGGAATTCCACGTTTTGTGTCTTGCTGCTTCAGTCAGCTAGGAATACTGTTTTTCTGCTTTATGTTAATCCAGCTCCAGAAGGGAAAAACAGGCTAAGATTAAAATATTCAACAGAGGAGAGGTACTTTGCTACCTCTACTGCTCTAAATTACTAACTCCAGATTAGTGAAATAAAAAGGACAAACTTCCACCACATAAATAGAATAATTTGGATTGGAAGAGACTTCTGGATATCATTTGATCCAACTTGCTTCTGAAAGTACGATTCAGTCTTCAGGTATGTGGGTCTTCAAACGTTACCACTTGCATTATGGAGGGAGAACTGTGACAGCATTGCAGAATCAAGATGAAGAGTAAAATTAAACCCAAGAAAAACAATGTGCTTCATGTAGGACTTTCCATACCATAGGAAAAAAATGGAAGAAAGAAATAACTGCCTACACTCAGAAATTACTTATATATGTACTGCAAACGGCAGCATAAGGATTTATCCAATATAAAGATGTCACACAGTTGCAAGGGTGGGCTTCCAGCAAACAGCAATTTACTTTGGTCCCAGACATGTCCCATTGGAAGAGACTTCTTGATACATGCAGGCAAGCAAGGCTCTCCTAGCTGGTCTTGCATCTTTCTCAGGTTCCCTAGGCAGAAGTCAGTTGTGGGTGGTTAGCAACATCTGATTTTTTTTATGTCTTACTACATTTTTGTTACAGTCTATGCTGCAGGTAGACAGGATCTTGCTTCACTTGCACTCTGAACACCATGAACAGATAAAGCCCCATAAAAGAAGCTGACTGACTGAGCCCAAATCCACTGAACCTCCATATGAGGCTCAGAGTCATGCTAACACAGTCATAAAGCCTTTTTTTTTCATCTTGGAAGGTGGACGGAGTGAGCTCATGTCAGCCAACGAAATATAGTGCAAACATACCCATTGCTCCCCAGAGGCCCTGTGTCTGGGTTTCATCACTTTGGTAGCTGGCAGACACAGTGAATTCTCATGGTCCAGATAAACTGGAATCTTGAAGCTTGGCAAGTGCACCCATCATCGTCCACTGAGTGCAGAAATTAAAATTCCAAATTTCACTGTTCCATCTCGGATCAGCATGAAGTCACAGGTCACTCATATTTCATAGGGCTTCATAATAAGTGCTCTTAATATGTATCAGGATAGAAATTCATTTTTAAAAGGAATTGATTTCTTCTTACAGTGGGGTTTAAGTCTCCAAGTTCACCTGGATTGCTATGACCATGAAGTTTCCATAAGTTAGTCAGCATACAGACACAGAGGTTGTATTGACAGAGTTGCATGCATGCACAAACACATGCACGCTCATATGCTTGTGGAAACATTCAAATACCTGTGTCTGCTGCACCTGGCCACTGCCCGTTAATCCAATCCAGTGTTCAGGACTTTTTCTAACATTCCCAACACATAAGAACCTCCAAACAACTGCAGAAATATTTTCTCCTTCTCTCAACAAAATGGGGGGATTTACCCCAGTATTACTCTCTGTCTGAGGCCCAAGTCGAGAAACATTTCTAGACAAATTGAGAGTACTCCTTGCCATTAGATGCTTTAAGTCTAACAGTCTGCCAAACTTTGCAGCCTTGCTAGTAAGAGGAACTTTGTGTTAGGATACACTATGCTTGCTGTCAACCTGTTTCAAGCTCCCAGTTATGAACAGGCACTTATGGTTACATTTATCTACCATAAATATTATTTATATATTTAAATCCTTTTAAAATACAGGGCAAATATAGACCAGACATAATCAGTGAGGTCAAAACTGCTTGTGCTATGACCAAATTTACATTTATGTTGCTTGATCTGGTGGATTACAAATTAACAGTGAAAACCCCAGAGCTTGTAAGAAAGAGGAAGGGGCCAGCATTCACTCCAAGTTGCTAGCAGACAGACTGGAATAGGAATGGCAGGCCTTAAAGGTGCAAATGCACAACTTGGTGCAGGTGGAAAAAGTGCTACCAGCAACAAAACAAAACTGCTCAACATGGAAAAGCTCTGAAAAATTTGTGAGAACTCTTCTGCCTCATTACCTTTGGGTTTGTAGCAAGGAGTGGGTACGATGCATTCTTCTTTTATGTGTGGCTTTGTTTTAGGGCTACAGCCTCCTGTATGCATTCCCCTGTGATCAATGCAAAGGACCACACGATATCTGAGTCCTTGTCCACAAGTCACAGTGCACTGGGGAAAAAAAATAGAAAAAAAAAGATGTGTATGATACGTCACAAGAGTGATAAATAAAAAGGGAAATATACAATAGAAGTATGTGTACAACAGAGAGCAAAACATGATGCAGAAACACCCAACCCTGAACATAAATTATTCATAATATTCGGTAGTTATGGATAAGGAATAAAATTGACAGAAATTTTTGCCTTTTTGCTCTGCATGTTTACTTGGTTTGGACATTTTGCTGCTGGATTTCTTTTGCAGTGTCACTCTCAGCATTGGATACTTGGCTTGTGGCCATCTGTCCCATATTGGATATGCTCAGTAACACCCTGTCAGTTTCATCTGGAGCCACTCTGCTTTGCTTGGACAAAGTACTGGGGCTTATGGGTTAACAGGGGTGACATTCAGCTATTTTGGAACATGGCACCAAACAGAATGGGAAACTATTTGGGCTTTCTTCGCACAGACACTTTCTTAAGTGTTTTTTCATTTATTTTTTGTAAGGTACATCAATTTTTCCCCTTGTGCAGATTGTTTCAGAAGTGGTTGCACCGGAGAGGATCAAAACTACCAACCAATGGGGAGGGATGTGGTACTACCAATATTACTTTGCTCTTGGGCAGCAGCTTTCATCTGGAAATCACTAAACACTTTGCAATCAGTCAAGGACACCTCACCTGTGGGTGAGCTATCTTAGCTTCTAAAACCCATTTTACTTGTTGAGAGTTAAACTCACACTGGGGTGGTGAGAAACTACATTCAAGATTAAGTCTTTATGTAAAAAATCTACTTTGTAGAAAGACATTTCAAAGACCTTTACTTTTGTACAGAAAGAAGGACGAGTCAGAAACAGACAACTACAAGCACCAAAGAGCAGAGTAATTTATGGCTTTACGTATTTCTGGAAATTTCTTAGCAATTCATGATATTAAATCTATGGCTGAAAAGTTGTAATAAAGATATACCATTACATGCTTACTAGGGTTTTTTTGTGCATTTAATTTATTCTTAGTAGAAGGTCACTAATTAATGTTACAGATCTGATTTATTTTTCCATCATTCTGCTTAATCATGTTAATCTTATTAATACATTATTCCTGAGTACTTACTTTGCAGTTAGACAGACAGCATAATTTAAAACAGAGGCCATGGTAATAAAGAAAGTAAGTAGTGGATGTTCCTACTTCCACAAGCTCACTGAACTACAATTTAAGATATATTCCTGGTGCGGTAAATACAAAACCAACAAAGCTAAGCTGATTACCGGAGACCATTCCTGAGCAAGCCACTTTGGGCAGTCAAAAATATTGCAAGGCTGGACAACAGGCATCTTTGGAGTATACATGCATTTCCATTCTTCCACGGGGCTGATATGCCCCTGAATGTCTTCTTCCACACATGAGACGCTGCGGCTTTGAATGCCCCCTCCACAGGATGAGGAACAGGCAGTCCAGGGTGTACTTTCCCATCTGGGGGCAAAAAGAAGAAACAAAACAGAGAGGCATCAGGAAAACAAAAGTCTGCTGCCCCCACCCACACCCCCCAAATGCTATCTGCAGGAGGGTTCTTTTTTCTGATTCATGTCAGTAAAAATTAATCATATATATATTTTCATAAATGGCCATAACAGCAAAAAACTCTCATGGTTGCTGTCTTTAAGTCACAGATTAGTAATATGAAATCTCCTCTCTCCCAGTGACTACTACCACAGAAACACTAAATATTTTAAACTTAATTCCTTTTATTTAAGTGATAGCATTATCATATCTTCACAATTTGTCATGTTCAGAGGAATCTTTGTCACAAATCACCAGAAGCTCAGTGTGCTCTGAAGCTGATGTTCCTTTGCAAGAACATATGGGGAAACAGCAGCATTTCTTTCCAGGGAAACAACTGAGTTGAGGAATAAAAAGAAGATGGGAGGAAATTACCAAAAAGAAGACATGACTATACTGATAGGATATGTGGCCTCTAGTAGATAAACCATATAGGCCTTGTTTCCTTACAGTTGAGACAGTGAGAGGAACTGAGAAACCACCTTTTCTCTATGTGTGCCATTTGAGAATATGACAAATCCACAGAACAATGTGTATATTCTGAAAAGCTATGCATACTTATGAGAATAATCCTTTCTTTACAGTGATGCATATACAATAATGTATGCATTGTGTGATATGTTTACATGTCTGTCCACATGAAGTAGTCTGGTATTTGCTCTCTTATATTCAAGCCATTGTCACAGAGAGGATCTGGGACCATTGTTGTGATCCAGTCTGGCTATTCCTGTATAATCATAAGCATGCCTGATGGTATAAAAGTGTGCATGTTCTACCAATCTAGAAACATTTCCCAAAATCTTTTTTTTTTTTTATCCTAAGGCAAACGTCCTTTTCATAAGGACATTACAAATAATGTTTGAAACAATGATTTTGGTCATAAGTTTTCATTTTTTGACTAAAAAAAATTGGTTTTGTGGATAAAACCTCACCTGTTTCCTCTTTAAGGCAAGAAGGAAAAGAAAGTGGAAGGGGAGGGGATTTTTCCTCCCACTTAGAACAAAATAATTATTTTTATTAAGTAACAATTGCAGGATCACCAAGATTGCTAAGCAGTATGAAAAATGCTTACCTTTCCCTCTGATTTTTCATCACACCAACCCCTCTTTTTCTCATCAGCCCCAGTACATGTAAGCACTACCCACACTTGGCTACTGGCTGAAAGTACCTTAAAACTCAATGTGAAATGGCTTATGTTAATAGCTGTTATGAATGATAAAGCTACTGATTAATCCTATGACTTATCACTTAAAGGTGGTGAAACCTTGTCTACACCATGCCATATCCATCATCGTGTGCTCAGCATAAGCCACAAATGGGTTATTTTAGCAATGTTTTTAGTTCAAATATGTTACCTGTGGCTCTGCAGAACAAGTTTCCCAGTATACAGCTAAGGTTTCTCACTAACACAAATCTGAAGGAAGAGGTCTCAAACTGAAACTCATGAAGTCATGCAGAAACTGTTGCAGCCAGCCTGAGCCAGCTTTTCCCAGACATGAAAAGCAGTAGCACCAGGGAATTCCCTGGAGTCTTTGGGACAAGTTTCCTTAGGCAACCTCAGCAATACCAAGCAGTCTAAATCTAGGCAAGCAGTTTGGTCCTGAGGTTTTGTAAGAGTGTAAGATAGCAAGGTGAAGGTTCTCTGTTGTAGAGCTCTTAAAGCAGTTGTCAGAGCTCCTTTCGAGGTACAAAGGGTGTAACATGGGCCAAGAATTTGTGAAAGGAATTGATGGTGCATTGAAAGTAAGCATTATACCCACTGAATCATACCTTTCCCTCTTCGTGATAAAACTCAAGGCTGAGGGAATACAGCAGGGAAATCTTGCAAAGATGCCTTCCCAGATTTGTCCTCCATTTCTCCTGGAGTGTTTGTTGCTGTCCTCCATCCCTAGTCTTAGGTGCCAGTCTCAGACAAGTAATGCAAACAGGGCCTCTCTGGTTAGGTTGGGTTTTTTTTGTTGTTTGGTTTTTTTTTTGCCTAAATTCTGCAGGTTCAGAGGAAAGACATTTTTTATCCCTCTGATCTGGTCCTGTCTCATGCCAGCCTCATGATCTGCTCCACATCTACTGCCTCTGAGATCTGGAGAAGAGACCAGTGGATGTGTCTTCACTCTCTGGGTGGGGGAGGAAGACCTGAGCCCTGTCTGTGGGTTGGTAGGAACATGTGTGGGAGAGGGGGAGAGGGAGAAGAGAGGAAGCAGCAGCAAAATAGCAGAGGGAAAAAGGGAGACAGAGGTCCCAGCCAGCAGTTGCAGCCTGAGCAATTGAGGGGGGGCGTTAAAGAAGAATGGTGTGGCTAGGAGAGGATGTAAAGGGACTGTTACAGGATGAGACCATAATCCAGAATGGCTTGAGAAACAGTCTCAGTCTTTTGATCATTTTCAGGGAACGATCTGGTTTTTTTGCTTTCACTGTTACTGAAAGCGAATAGCTCAGGGCATTTTGATCCTTTATCTTGGATTTTCTTCAGCAGTAAAAAAGCCTCTGCCTAGCTGCCAGCTCAGGATGCTTTTTCCTTAAATACAGTCTCTCCACTATTACGTCGCACTGAATCATCCTCTGATACAAAATTGTTCTCCTTCTTTTGTCAATGCACATGCCCTTTGTACGCAACTGAAATAAAACCTGTTTTATTCAATGCTAGAGTGTTAAACCCAGTATTAATATTCTAGCTTCTATATTCATTACTAACAAAGGTTTAATTTTTGAGGTTAGGAGGCATGCATTTTTTTTTTAAATAAAGATCTGAGGACAGTGTTTTCCAGAAAAAAGGAATTAGATGCAGGGATGTATTTTATAAGTCTATCTCATGAATTTCTGGTGATAATGACTGTATGTACATAATCATAAGCACTTAGCTAGGAAGAGAAAAACCTGATCCAAATGAACCAGATCATTGATAAAGGATATCAACAAGAATGGCAGCCACAATGCTTGGCAAGTAAGCTGGTCTCCTCCTTGTCATCTGACTCACAGTTTGGGATGGGTCCGAGGTTTGGATGGAGACAGTTGAGCATCAATGCACTGTGCTTGCACACTGACACGGAAAGCTTTCTGCATTAGGCCTCACCATGGTTTGAGGGAAGTTGTTTCCTCACCATGATGAGACTAACAAGTTGCCTAGGGTGTTCTTTTTGAGATTTCTTACTCCATGACACAATAAATTAATGAAGAAGGAAACACAGCACAATACGATTGCATATCCAGGCAGTATTTCAAAACCAAAAGGTTATTATCCTTCAGCTACCAAACATTTTTAACACCACCAGTCTTATTCACTGTCTTAAGACTAATTACTCATGCAATTATTTCCATGAGAATCTCAAGTCTTACATTAAAGACATTTTAATTGCGAGATAATAATACAAATCAGGCCTTGGATCTTGTTGCTGCCCCTAATCTCTGATTTCTTAGAAAAGCTAAAGGATTAATGCCCCTAGGGAAGGCAAGGGTTTGCAGGATCAGAACACAAGACTAACACTGTCTAAACCCAAAATCTCATAATTCATAAGCATGCAAGAAGCAACATCATTGCAGAGAGAAAGACAGTCTGATGGTTCATTACAAAGCCACAGAGATGTTCAGAGATGAGAAAAGGGAAGAAAAAGGAAAGGTGTGAGAGAAAATAGGAGGTGGGGCTGAGGAGTGAGGAAAGAGAGAAAGAAAGGGACCGCACACTTAATAAATCTGCATTGCTGCTACAGCTAGAATATTGTTTCAGTTCTGCATCAACAGAATTTATAACAACAGGGTAGCACTTGAACATCTCTAGCTTAATCTGCAGGAGCTCAGGGCAAGAGAAAAGCAGTATCTGTTAACCTAATTTGTGAGAAAAGCAGAAATGCAAAGAAGAGAAAAAAATGAAGTCAATGTATTTGTTAATCCTAGCATCTCATTGACCGTTTTACGTACCGAGGAAGGGGATGGTAGAGGTCATAGGGCATGATCTGCTTGTATCCATCACTGTTAGGAACAATAATGCCAACCCTCTGAGTAGAAGGTACACATAATAAAATAAACACTAAATGATTACATTATACAACCTTTTTTACACAATATTATAAAAAAAAAAAAACCAACCAAACAAGATATTTTACCTAAGTTGCTATCACATTGAAAACAAAGCTTATGCTCCCATCCTACATTTTCTGACTTGTTCAAAGTGTAAGCCACCGATTATTACTTTATTCTCATGAACATATTACTCTTTGACTAAGAAACAATCCACCACCACAAGTGATCCAAATGAGTTATCCAAATATTATTTAAATTTATGAGGTTACTATCTGCCATTAAAAAAAAATAAAATCTACACTTAATACTTTCTTGGAGCTTGGATCCAAAGTCACTGAAGACAATAGGAGAACTTCTGTTTGCTTCAGAGACCTCCAGATCAAACTGTTTTTTAAACTGTTATATGGTTGTTTCTCTCCTTCGGATAAAACATCTGCTTTTACAGAGTCCAGTATGAGAAAATTGGAGAATCCCAGTGCAAGAATTCAAATCTGCAGTTCTTGTGTCTCTACCTTAATTCAGTCCAATTTCATTCATCTTCAGAACCTGCCTCTTTATATGGGTTTTTCTGGAAGAAAGAAGGAACTGGAGAGAAGAGTAACATGTCCAGTTGTTTTTTTTGTTTTGTTTTGTTTTGTTTTTTTTTTTTTGCTTTTGGTGTTGTGACTGGTTGGCTTGGTTTGCTGAGTGTTATTGGATTAATATATAAATAATACAATATCTGAAGGTTATAGAAGGCAATGGTGTAGATCAAAGTTACGAATTGTCCGAACTGTTATCATGCCAGTTATTTGTGAGACAGATGTCACTTGACTTGTTGGCAACTACAAGGTCTCACAGACTTCCTAGTCTGGAATGTCATGTTTTGTCTGCACTTTTTATAGATTCTGATTCAGACTAACTACCCTTGTTGTCTCCCAGTTATCAGGTATACCTGTTAACGTCAAATAGATAATCCCAGAGCACCTCATCTATCAGTTTCATCAAAGCCACTGTGCAACAGGGGACTTGGATGGGCCAGGTAGACAGAGCCATCAAGGAATGAATGCCAATTGCATTAAAATAATAAGAGTGTCCTTACACAAGTTATGGACAGAGAACTGACTGAAAAGAATGAAGGTGTTTTTTGAGAGCCTTATACAAATGAGAGGTGCTAGGTATGCTGCTACAGATTTCTGCAAGGAGGAGGAGAAAAGGAGGAGGAAGGGAAAAAGTATTCTCCATCCTCAACACAGTTCACTGAAAAATGCTTTAAGCATTCAAAGGAGTCTTGTCACACTAAGGCTAAAGGGGTCTATTCTCCTTTCAGTCAATAGGATTTTTATGTGCATAAATTGTCCACTTAGGAGAATGGATCCCATTGTCTTTTCACAGTGAGGAGTCAACACCAGGTCAGCATGCTGGAATTTTCCAGCTAAAGTGTGGGAAGACGCTGGAGCCCTGGGAGTGTGTGACGGGGACTAGACAGCTACCTCTAAGATTAGCAGCCTCTGCAGTCACAGGAGCCCTCTGCCTGAGTGTGTATATTTGCATCTTCGGAGAGCTGCCTGTCTCCACAAAAATCTAAAAATCTAGGAGAGGAATTTCTGGCACTGGGAAACTTTGGAAAAGACAAATGGGTCATTTAGACTATGGCAAATGAACAAGTCTTTTCAAAATTAGCTTGATGGGTAAATGCCTAGAAAAGTTTGAGAAATTGCATACTAGTATTTTAAGAAGATGGAAGGGGACTTTTCAGAGTGTTTTTTGCTCATGCCTTTGGGAATCTCTGCTGTTTTCCTGACTCTTCTACCACTGCTGTTGAAGTTCCCCTCAGAAGCCTTTTACACTTTCCAGCTCCACAGCTTGCTGAGGAGCGGTTGGAAAAAAGATTAATACACCAAGTTCAGAAATGAAATAATTATACTATAAAAGCATCTACTGCCTAAGAAAGAAACAGATTTCAAAACATTTCTCACTTACTGCAGTGAGAAATGTTTTCTTTTTAATAAACATGATCTGTATGCATAATCCAGGTCTACATGCACTAGAATGCATAATATCCAAGGCCATTCCAATGGAAATAACCATACCACATCCAAACACTGTTATGAAGATTAAATAACATTTACAAAGCACTAGATTAATATTGTCATTGGAAAGGTTTGACCCTCAAAGAATTTTACATACATAAATTGCATTTCTGTAAATGGTATAGAGCTCCACAGAATTACTGACAGTGTCCTTGTGCATATGTGAGGGGCTCCCAAAGGCTCTCATTCTGTTATTACAAGATAATGATCCCCAGCAACGTAAGTCCCATGGTCACAGTGAGGAAAAAGAACCCCACAATAATACACCACAATAATGCCACATGGCTCTCAGGTTGGCCAGCTGCTGAGCCAAGCAGGGACATGGGGGCTAGAGCTGGGAGAAGAGCCAGCAGAGAGAAAGGGCATCTCCCCCTGAGATGCCTCAGGGTGGTGTGACCCTGCATGAGGATGATGTGCTGAGGCCGGCAGTCGGTAGGGACACCCCAGCTAGTGCTCCCACACCCTGCCGTGCCAGTGCCCAGCCTCTTTAGGACACTCGATCACCTCTGGCTCACAGTCTTCACTTCTGCTACGGGCTCTGTTTTCCTGGGGGTTTCCTACCCACAGTGCTGTAGCTGCAGGGCTGCCCACACTCCTGGGTGTCTGGAGCTGTTACACATCTCTCATGATGCGGAATCTCACAGCAAAGTTTTAAGCCTTCGCTGAAATTTTTTCAGACTTGAGAGCAAATGATCTGCATGGCAAAGACTATGCCATTTGGGCAATGGGCTGAAGCATGTCTAAGATATTAATAGCAACTGGCAAATAATAAAATGTTGAAGCAACTTAAGTTGGCTGTGGACATCTAATTCATTAAATGAAAGGAAGCACTTAGATGACTTGAAAAAGTTCATTGCAAAGGACAAGAGTTTAGCATCCGAGCCAGCATCTCCCTGAGAGCCATGATTATCACTGGACAGATGCCAGGCTTGTGAAAAAGTCTCCAGTTTAACACTACAAATCCTGACATTAAGGTGGTGTGTGATACTCTACCCTCCGCTCACAGTGCTCTGTGAAGATGCCACAGTGAGACTTCATCGCCCTGTGCTACAAGAATGCTTTCTGCCCTGAGAAACAGGTATCCAGACTCTCAAATAGATGATATCCGTTAAGGTTTCCCATGTGTTACTCTGTAAAACTATCACTGTTTCCATTCAGAGCTGGGGTAGATGACATCTACAGTAACACCACAAGTAAGGGCAACACTGGCTTTTGAATGCCGACTTTAGAAGGTAGCGAGTAACATAATGGTCAGTTCCACTACCACTCTGAGTTGCATTTCTGGTTTCTGGGCCACCACTCTTAATTCTGAGATATAGATAGTATTGTGATCATCTTATCACATTACACTCTGTCAGTGTGGAACCTGAAGAACTACCATGTATTTCGTATTTATATACCCTTTTATATGGTTTAGTACTTCATGGCTTGGTAAAAGCCAGTGTCCCCTATCTAAACATTTTTAAATGAAATGTCAGTGGATACTGAAATAACCTACTCAAAAATGCAAAAAACTGCAAAGAAAGCTATTCTTCTGTGGCATCTTCCAGAAAAAACTCACACTTCAGACAACATGTGTGTTCAGCACAACAGTATCTCACTTTCATAATAAATGACTTCTTCATGGTGTACAGATTTCAAATTCTAAGAAATACATGGTTTACTTATTGCCATAGACTGCTAAAACCCAATCTCTTTACGGAGCTTGAAATGGGTGTTATCAATCGGGAGCAGCAAAAGTACTTCCTTCCTGCAGGATGACTGTAATGCTTCTAAAGATATTCCCCCTTTTTTGTTCACTTTAGTATTTTATGGTGGTTTGGATGAGCAGTGTTTGATACAGAGAGGGAAATCTGTTGTTATCTTCTGCTACTAAACATTAACAACTGAATATCCAGTGAAAATCTCTGTACGTGACCATCTTACTACTTGCTGCAGTTTTGGACTCTTCTAGGACTTAAACAGACTGCATTTCCCGTAACTTCATCTTGGTCAGAGAGATGCAGCTGGGAATGTCACTTAAAAGCTGAAGATAAAATCCAGAAGCAACACTGATGTTTCTCCAGAGAGTATCCCAGTGAAGTGGTGAATGATGAATGGAATAAAAGCATTTTTCATATTTTTAAAAATGTCTTTTTGGAGGAATGTCTTTGAATTATGAAAGAAATGGTATCTTCAGCTTATAGCACCTCAGTGTTGTCCTAAGTAAGTGTTTAACACACCCAGTTAAGCCAAATCTAAACAGACTTTTTTTCAAAGAAAAATTTCCATTCACCTTTCCTTAGAGGATACCAGACAGGAGGATACTGATGATAGCTAAAAACGTTCCCCTAAACCCTCCAGTCTATGAAGTTTTTGATAGTTAAAAGATTTGCAATTAATTACCTATGTGAAATCTTAATATTGGATTTTGCCGCATGGAAGAGGAGTGGACTAGATCGAACTGGGCGCTATTTACATCAGTAGACATTATACATATATTTGCCAGTCAAGTACCGACTGTTGTAAAATCTTAATGGACTGTAAATAAACAGGTCTTTTCTTTCTATCTTCCTCAGGTGGGAGCTGGATCCCAAAGAGGGTCAATGAGAAAGGCTAGATAGGCCATTGATAGTAGGTAAGGATGAAAAGGGACTTGATGTCATGATGTATTATCTATCCTGCAAGACACTAATTAGTGGTCTTTCTTAGGTGGACAAACCACCTTTACTTCACCTGGAAAAGAAACATGTATATATTATATATGTTTGACAAACAACCTTCCACACACTGCTTCTCCTCTGAGTTTGTGAGACTGGGTTTACAGAAAGAAAAGTTGATTAATTTTCCACCTTTGTTCAGTCTAAGCCTTTTTGTTACTTATGATGCCAGCAATACTGATAATTATTGCCGTAATAAGCATAATAAAGTAAAATATTTCTATGCACTAAGGCTAAAGAGACAACTAATTACAAGTCCACACGATACTCCTGGTATTCATTTAAACCTTTCTTTCAGCCTGCCCTTTGCTGAAAATTTTAACATAAGCTCTCCTACAGTAACCCCACTCAGCTCCTTTATTCAGTGTCACTGTGGTCTTCCACGATTATTTTCTGTGGCATTCATTGACACGCCATAGGAACAGTCAGCAGCCACTAATCAGCTATGCCTCACTGGAATTGGGTTTGCCAAGAAAAATTAACATCTTCATTTTATACCAGCGGAGCAGAGCGGCTTCCACACAGCAAAGACACTTCAGAGCCAAGACACTCTCCTCCCTGATGGTCCTGACCCGGTTGTTCTGCTTCACCTACCCTCTTCCTGACCGTAAGCAAGCATCAGGATTCCAGAAGTTACCACAGATTTCCTCTGGTTTTCTGTCTGGGTTGTTGATTCTTAAATTCTTTACAAAGGCACTTTTGAAAATAGTAATTTGCAATTTGGCATTCTGTGAGGATGTTTCCAAAAAGTCAATTCGTCTCTGGTACTGCCTGTATCCTGGGACCACATAGCTGTACTTCTAAATGACTCTCCCTCCCTTCAGGGTCTTTGTATCAACTTTGCCTTGTTATATCTTACGTAAAACAAAAATTGCTTCCTGACATCTGCCCAGCTATTATTTTTTTTCTCTCTTTCCTCCCTTGTACAATGCAGTCATCTGTCTTACCATTTGAGAATGTGTCATTTAAAATTATCAGGAAAAGTATGGAAAATATCCATAGTACAAATTCCAGAGGCAAATTACATATTTGACTTAGAACTTTATTTTAAAAACATAGCAGCTTAGACTTAAAAAAAAAAGAAAAACAGCTATATAAAATTACTTTCTCATTGGTACTGTGAGAGGTGACTCTAAAAGACAAGTTCCATACTGACTCACATCTTTCAGTAATCCCTTTTCTGAGATGTCCATATTTAGGTGTCTTGCCTGATTATACCTGGCCTCTACTTTACTGACAGTTGTCTCAAACAATTCAAAGGAGAATTTGAAGAAATGGGTTTTGATCTGAGAAAATCACCAAGGAAAAAATGCAAGAACTTTATTATAATAAGGTTTCTAGATGCAACTGTTAATATATTTAAATAACGTTAAGACATTAAGTATATATATTTTTGTGGAAAGTACTAGGACAAGAGAAGCCAGATACTGAACTTGACAGGATATTGCTGAAGGAAAAAATAGTCTTGTTGCATTGTGGGAAAGCAATCTGTAAATTGAAAAATCACTGCTGTGTATGTGCTTAACAGGAAATACTTTTCACAAAGCCCTAGTGAAGTTCCATTCTTAAAATTATATCTTTAATACATCCTAATGAAATACATGATATAATATGTAAGTTAAAGAATGTACAATACATCTGAGATAATGTTGGATTTCAAGATTTGATATTTCTGCTTTTTAATTCTGGGAGATTTTCACTTCAAATTTAAAACTGTATAAGAACATTGCTGGCTTTTAATTACTTACAAACAGAATTACTATTAAAAATGTGTTTTCTAGAGCAAAGGAATACAAGCTGCCATACACTCTAGGTAAATGTGGCTCAGTGATGAAGAAACCTGAGTGTTAACTCTAGTTAGGAGAAGTCAATGAACTTTAACAAAAACTTTCTAGAAGAGGTAAAAACTATCATCTTGGGCTTGGAGTGATTTGTTCTTCTCTGATAATGCCTAGCTAGTCTAAAGTTGGTATACCTGGTTTGGGATGTAATCATCCTCAGTTAAGTGGATGCATAGTCCCACAGGTCCCTAAAGCATCCTTCTTCTGGGTAGGATTTTTTTTTTCTATGGCAACCTCCAGCAATCTGAAGGGCCATAGCAACTTTTTAAGTGAGACTTCCTTGAACTCGTTTGTTCAAACTTGGCACAAAACCAGTCTAGAGGGAAAGGAGCAGGTAAATAAATGGCTTTAGGGCACCCTTGCACACCTGCCTGCTGGGCTGTGCTTAACCATCTTTTAGAAAATCCACACAAGAGGGCCAAAATGTTTCGATTCCACAAGTAAATGCTTGCAGGTTATGACTGGCTGCAGACTGACTTCCACTAAAGTTCAGGGTAATCAGTGCAAAAAAGGACTGGTCCTTTTTGTGGTTTTGTTCCTTTTCTTATACACAGGAAATCTGACTGTGTTCTCTTACTATTTTTACTATTAATCTTCTGAGGAAGAATGCTTTGCAGAGGAGCCTAGAGGAGTCTTTTGTGCAGGGTATCGATAATCAGAACAAATTCTTGTGTTACAATCTTAGAAGCTGCCATGACTGCAAGTCAGCTTTTTAAGCAGAAAATGTAAAGAAACATAAAAACAATACCTCTAATTGTGATGACAACCATATTCCAACAGTATTTTTACCTCAAAAGGAATTTTCCTATCTCACTAACACTTAAGAGTCATGTGTTGATCATGGGATGATATCATGGACAATTTGTTTTCTCACACTTTCTAATGTTTAATGAGGCAAAACACTATCCGAGGGGAAGAAACAACCATTTCAAATGAGTCCTTGCAATGTGCAGGTGCTAAACAGAGATCTTTTTCTACACAGTACACCCTCAGGATGAGAAAGAAGTTGAATTACATAGAGTAAATGACATTGCAAGCAATAACAATAGAATATTTTCCTACTTCATTTTGCTCCTTTAGAGTCCAGTATCTTTTAAAATTAGAGCTGACTGACCTTGCAGGACAAGGATCCAGATTACACTCTTGAAGTTTTGGCTTTGGTTTGATATTTTCAGGATAATAGTGACAGTATTGATCTGCCACTACCCGGTTGCTTCGCAGATCAAAACATTCAGCAGATGTCAGTTGATAACCTGCAATACACAGTGGAAGAAATAATATGTGATGAGGTGTTCTTCCTCTCTCTCTCTGAAGTGTATTTAAGTTCTGGTTTGGTAAAGAGTGAACTGAAAATATCAGCACTTTTTGACATAATTGCTGCTGTTTCATAGACCACATTGAAGACAGCAACTTAAATCACATGTAGTAGGAAATAAAAGATAACCAGTATGGTCAAATAAGGATTCAAAAGCCTAGAGCAAAAAAAGAAAACAAAGGCCAAGGTTTCTTGGTCACTAAGACTTGTACACTCAGTTTCAGTTCAGAGGGTAAAGCTGCTGGTTGTAACAGGGCAAATGGAGATATCTTGTGATTCCAAAGTGGGCCCAAATCTCATCAGCCATTATATTTGACATCTGTAACATTAAATTCAGTCACGTGGATATCAAAAGGTACTTTATGTGCAGAGCATGGTATGATGCTAAAAAATCTATAGACTACTACCACTGTTGCTACACTCCTCCCTTCATTTAGATGCAACTACTTTCATTCTCAGGTTTTGCCCATTTTAAAGGTCCAAATCTCAGTGCAGCAGTTGGGAGAGATCCTCTATGCAGACGTCTCTTTCTAGAGTACACTGCTAATTCATTACCTCCTCCACAGGATGCTGAACAAGGAAAAAAATCAGTTTCCCTCCATCGGTGAATGATGGGTTGATAGAAGATAAACTGAACAGAACTGTCAGCAGCACCAGCATAGCGGATCTGAAAAAGATGTAATACCAAAGAGTGAACCTGACATAAATACCAGGAAGAAGCATTCTGCCACATGGATCTCACAGCTTTGAGACATCTTGCAGATATGTGAAATAACAGAGCTACTTTGTAATAGGAAAATGAATGCACAAAACAGAGCGTAGATTGGTGGCAAAATCTTGGCTGCAAAACACAGTCAAATAAATTTCTGGGCAGAATCCATGGCATTTCTGACAGTACTGACACCATGTTATGAAATAATGAATGCATAGTAAATCCATGGTTAGTGCTACTGAATAATTTTATGGGGACAGAGGATATGGACTGAACTTTATTCCATCAGAAATACCTACAATTACCTGCTGTCCCTACCACATAGATTTAAATCTTTAGTATTTCCCAAACACCTTCTGAGACAACATATACTATAATAGACAGGTTAGAGTGAAAATGGGAGGCTGTGCTGTGAGTAATACGAAAGTGTAAAAATTCTAATTCAAGATTTCTTTGTGTCTGAGGTGAGGTGTCTTTTTCATTCTTCTTTGTGGTACTGTCATTATTATAAGTCTGTCCTTCTGTTTACTTTATTTTGGCTGCAAAAATTCTCCTTTCAGTCATAGGCATGGACTCTTGGCTAAGTGCATGTTTGGAAAACACTCTTTAAAGCCTACAAGTACTGCCAACTTTTAAGCCACCTGAGCTTCACTATGTTTCCAGTACTTTGTGTGCTGAATGGATTTCCCATGTGAACAAGAGTTTGTAGTGCAAGGAGTGCAATAAGAAAAGACACCTTCACACTGCCAAGGCAACACCACTTGCACCCAGGCCGGAAAAAATCCTTCCTGATTGATAGCTGTGCTGATTAATACTGTTATGGGGACATCAAAATCTCTGCAGGATAACCCTTGTCCTTACCTCTAAGCCTTTGCATGAACAACTGGCAAGGGAAAAAATCAAGACTGCTACTAAAAGCCTTTCCTAGTTGATTATTTGTCCTAGAACATAATGTATTGCTGTTGCTTCAGCATCCAGAAAAGATGGACCCTTCTCCAAGTCAGTACACCTACTCTCAGGAGCAATCCTCCCTGTTCTTTTTTTCAGACAGCTTAAACTGTTTCAGCACTGCCTCCTTTTTCTTTTCCTATGTTTTGAACAAGTTGTCCTGTTTTGGAAACACCATTTTTTCAATCTGCCTTTCATTTTCGCTCTTTCCAAACACCAAGAGACACCATCAAAGAGTAGACTGTGAAACAGAAGCAAAAATGTGACGTATTGAACTGAACAGTGTAATCTGGTTGTTTATTTTTTTTTCCCCTGTTGATGGACAGAAACATGATTACAAATCAAAGTATATCTTGAAGAGAAGGAGGAAGGCAAAAATACTGCAGGATTTATTGACAGCTGTAAGAGATCTGGCCCACTGAGACTAAGGTTCTCCTTTTCTAATTAAAGTAAGCAGTGACGTAAATTCCCAATACGAAAAAAAAATACAGCTGCAATACAGCTTCTTCAGCAAATGGGAGGCCTTCTGCATGGATTAATATTGTTTGAGTCTGTATGTCAGAAACAGAATATCTAATTCCTTGTGTGGGGATGGTGTATTAATCATACAGTTCAGAAGGGTCTTTCTGGGCTCATGAAAGCCTCATGCACTCCTGGGAAAAATGTTCTATTGTGCTGGAAGCCATTTGGGGAGGTCTCTGATCTGAATGTGCAGAAAAGTTGTTCATTAGAGAGAATTCTGCTCTTACTCTTTGTTTCTTAAGGATCATCAGTGATTCTTAAACTTAGAAGATCTACTCAGTGGTATGGTCTTCAGTGAATCATGAAGAATAGACCAAGAGCTCACACAGAACCTACTATAAAAGGGAGGAAGGGGAAGAAAAAGAGATCACATTAAAGAAAAAATCAGGAGGACAGAAGAGTTCCTTTCCCAGCAGACTATTCCTGCGTGTCTGCAGAATTACCTGTCTGTTTTGACACAGAAAAAAGACAGATGTAGATCTTTTCCAGCCTAATGTAGAAGTCACTCATACAGCCATGATAACAACATAGGTGGGAAAGGATTACAATGAACTGCAGCCATGAGCTAACATAATGCAAATCAAGCAAATGAAAGAAGCAGGCACAGTACCATTTATTTTTTAAGGACCACTGTAAGCAGCAGAGGAACAATATATAGCACATATATATATTACATGTAATATATATACACATAAACAGCACGTATATTCCACACAGGAAAAAATTCTTCTTTATGTTGTTTGACAGTTTGTTAGAGCTAAGATCTTGATCCGGGAGAAAACACCAGTGGCTGCTCGAGCCTTGCAAAACTCAAAGTGACACTTGATAGCTAAATGCTTTAAGAAATGTCCTGGTTTTGCTGCCCAGGGCCAACTTCCACACGTTGAAATACTCAGCTCTGGAGATTGGTGAAATTTTTTACCGTTGCACTACTTGCAACACCCTGCTAGCTCTGAGAAATGCCAAAGCTTCAAAAAGAGGTGATCAATACTTGGAAATCTTTAGTTAGTCCTCTAACTAACAGTGAGTTTTTCATTCTTAGGTCACTCAACCAGAAAAAATAGCAATTGTTCACTATGTTTGCAAATAAAATCCTATCTAAATTTACTAATTGCAGACAGCAGAAGTACTCAGATCTTGCAGAGCACTCAGCCTCCATTTGTGCACTGCAACACCCTAGAGATCATCCTTGACTTCTTTTAGGTTTCAAGGGAGTTTGGAGTTTTCCAAACACCAGAGCAACCCTCAGCACTTTGTAAGACTCAAGAGAATATCACCAGTCTTATAAAGAGTTGGTTAAAATTAGTTCTCAGACTATCTGCCAAAAATTAACTGTCTAGCCTACAGTCACTAGCAACAGAGCTCTCTTTTTTTTTTCTTGTAGAAAGACCTTGAAAAAAATCATCACTTGTACTCTGCTTTTTAAAATTGATTTTGTAAATGACTGTCTGGGATGGTGCAACAGAGGCACAAGCTGTTGCTCAGGTGAAGTTTGGGATTGATAAAATGCAGTTTTGATTTTGGGGATATCCACAGAAAGTTAAATGAAAACAACAGACCTCATAATTCAAATACAAAAGCAGTACAATATTTTTTAATTATTCTGACCTGTCCTGTGATCAAGAGACTGCAATATCTTACTTCATCTTTATATCGTGTTATTTTTCCTATAGCCCCCAAATTTGATTGGTTCACATAAAAACAAACAAACAAGCAAAGTCCCCCAAAGTCAACTCTTTCATCCTTGATTTTGGCAGCATATGCCTGAACTGTTTGTTTATGTTCACTGAAGAACACATGGCCTGGCCTACAAAACTGCACTCAGTTTACTTGGGTGGTTGTGAAATTTAATCAGGAGTTTATAACCAGTAGTGATAACCAAGAAATTATCAATGTTAATTGCATGGTTGAATCATGAAAAGTGTATTCAACAAGAAGTTCTTATTTTATGAAGTTGTGTGTTGGGGGAAGAGGAAAGACACCATTTCCTTCTTGTGTGTGTGTATATCCCAAACTGGGGATAAGGAAAGGGAATTATTATTGCATACCATGTTTTCTCTTACAAAATTTGAGCCGGTATGTTATGGTCTAGCTCCACACCATTGTGCTTATTAAAAAAGTTCTAATGGATTTTTCCAAATTATTTTTCCAAACACTTTCTGCAAGTGCCAAAAAATTTAAACCATGAAAGATGCTGAAGGCTTTTAAACCTACTGTCTAACACAGGACTATACCAGGACTCCTCTGAGCTTGCCTCTTAATTCTCTTGGGATGCTGAAGCGTGCTCTGCCTTTTTGCTCCAAGGAACATGTCTATTGACCATTTCTGCATTCATGTCCCTTAATTGTGATAGTCCTGTGTTGGATTAGCTTGGTTTAGGGGTTATCTTTATATGGAAGACAGCTCCATCTATTGCTTCTCAATTAAGCCTCTAAATCAGCCAGAGAAATCATTGTGAAATTACATTATCACCAATTTACATGACTTACAAAGCATCTCTCAATTGAACTTGCTCACCATGCCCCAATCTTGGGTTAAGCTGTGTTCCTTTAGGTGACTAGGATGACTGTTAAAAAGCCTTTAGATGAAATCTCTCACAAAGCCAAAAGAGAAAGTTAGAAGTTTCAAATCTTTTCTCAAATTCCATTGTTCTCCCCAAAGGAAAAACAAAATAGAAAATCAGTGCAATGGACTGGTTAGGATAGCTGGCAGCACCGAAGCCTGCTATATCAGCTATAACAGCTATGATATCTGTACAGAATCCACTACTAAGTGGAACAAGAGCAGAAGCTTCTCAAATGAGATGACTGAAGTTATTCCACAGAACCAAGGGCAATCCCAAATACACCAAAACCAACCCTACTGCATCTCTTCTGTGGATACCAGCCATAAAACCCCACTCATCTACAGAAAGACTATTTCACCACCACCACCATGCTCTCAGGGTAAGAGAATTCACCTTTGAGCAAGCCACCTTAATCCCCACTGCAGAATATTTGTTAACCTTAATTTAACCATGGCAATACCTAAGAAGTTAATGTAAAAAAAAATAGGAGCCTATTATGATAGATACTTTATAAAAATAAAATTAACAAAATAAAAAGGTAATGTTTGGCACAAAAAAAAAAAAGTTAGAATGATGAAAACTGAGCAAGATTGGCACCAAAGCTTCATAGAACTTAAAACTGACTGATTTTTGAAATAGATAGACTTGGGGAATTTACACATGATACCGGAAAAAAGTTATAGAAAAAGAAAAGGAAAAATTACAAAGAACAATTTGTCAGAGGAATATAAAATAACATGTCTAAGAAACCATGTCTATTGCCTCAAATTAAAACCTGACAGTAGATTTCAGATCAGCAGTGTTTTAAAGAAGTATGTAACACTGATGGTAACACATCTCCAGATCCACCCAGTAGTTTCAAATAATATACTCTTCGAAGAGCACGGGAATGAAATTCACATATGATCATATTTAGCCT